GCACAGATTTGGTACAGGATGCCTTGGATAAGGTAAAGTTGATTCAGGAGAGGCTTCGCACAGCTCAGTCCAGGCAAAAGAGTTACGCGGATCAGAAGGCACGTGATGTATCATTCACGATTGGCGAGAAGGTTCTCTTGAAAGTCTCGCCAATGAAGGGCATTATGAGGTTTGGGAAGAAGGGCAAGCTAAGCCCAAGGTTTATTGGCCCCTTTGAGGTGTTGAGGCGAGTTGGAGAGGTTGCCTATGAGCTCGCTTTACCTCCCAGTTTATCGGGAGTTCATCCAGTCTTCCATGTATCGATGCTTCAAAAGTGTCATGCCGACCATTCACACGTGTTGGATTTCAGTACCATTCAGTTAGATGAGAGCTTAGGCTACGAGGAGGAGCCAGTTGCCATTGTTGATAGACAGGATCGCCAGTTGAGGTCCAAGAGGATTTCTGCGGTAAGAGTCTAGTGGAAGGGCCAACCGGTCGAGGAGGCGACCTGGGAGTCCGAGGAAGACATGCGGAGCAGATAACCCCACTTATTCAGCAGTCCAGGTACTTTTCTATGTCCGTTCGAGGACGAACGTTTGTTTAAGAGGTGGAGAATGTAACGACCCGACCGGTCGTTTTGCATTTTTTTAAACCACGTTCCCTTAAATAAGACTTCCCGCACTTGCTTTAGCTAATTTATGACTTGCGGGGACGGGTGGTTCGGAATTTAGAAGAGTTTTGAGCAAGAATAAGTCTAGTTGCTTCTTTAAGTTTCTTTAAAAAGGCCAAGTTTGATTTTGGTCAACATTTTGGGGAAACGGATCCGGAATCGTGATTTGACAATTTCTAAGGGTCCGTGGGAAAATATGGGACCTGGGCGTATGCCCGGAATCGAATTCCGAGGTCCCTAGCCCGAGTAATGAATTTTTATGTGAAATTGCTAAGTTAAAGTTTCAAAGGTTTTAATAAACTAAGAAATCATTGTTTTCCTAGGTATCTGGTTCAGATTTCGATTCCGAAACTTGGTACAAGTCCGAAATATCAGTTAAGACTTACCCGTAAAATTTGGTGTCAATCCGAGTAGTTTAAGGGCGTTTTGACCCGTTGGAGGAGAATTAAGAACTTGAAGTTCAATGATTTGATTCATTGGGTTTTGGGGTGGATTCCTCGATTTAGCGTTGTTTTGAGTGTTTCGAGGGTTCGAGTAGGTCCGCCTCGTGATTTTAGACTTGTCGGTATGTTCGGGCGGGGCACGGGAGCCCTGAGCGTCAAACGAACGAGGCTCGAGTGAAGTTAGAAATTGGAAGATGAATGAAGCTTGCTGCTTCTGTCATAACCGCATCTGCGGTTCTTGGACCGCAGAAGCGGGACCGCAGATGCGGTCATTAGATCGCAGAAGCGGAGAAGGGCAGGCCAGGGGAAATCGCAAAAGCGGCCCAGGGACCGCAGAAGCGGTTCCGCCTATGCGGCCCCCAGACATTAGAAGCAGTCGAGCCCCAAATCCCAAAAGCCGCAGAAGCGGATTCCGCAGAAGCGGAAATACTTCCGCAGATGCGAAAATAACTGGGGGCAGAAGGGTTCATTTAATAGGAACTCAAACTCATTTCTCTCATTTTTCACTCTACACTTAGGCGATTTGGGTTCTTCCAAGAGAGGGTTTCCGCATAACTTGGTAAGGTAAGTAATTTCCCTTCATCCTTAGCTTAAAATACATGTATATTAGGTAGATTAAACACCAAAAGTTTAGTAAAAATCAAGAATTGAGCTAGACCTAGGGTTTTAATAAAACTAAGAATTTATCATAAAATTTGCCATGTAATGAACTAGAAATCATATATTTGTGATCCTTAGGTGATAGAGAACAACTTCCTTCGAAAAATCTCGGAATCCGGGCACGTAGGCCCGGGGGTCGGAATTTAGGAAACTTATGTTAATGGTTAGAAAATTGCCTAAATAGTTAGAGTTCGACCTTGTAAGCCTTTATTTACTAGTTCTTACTTCGTTTGATTAGTTTGGGATTGTTAGGCTTCGAATTAAGGACTTGGGCTCGTTCTTGGACATTGGAAGTGCACTTTGCAGCGAGGTGAGTCTCCTTTCTAACCTTGTAAGAGGGAATTGTCCCCATAGGATTATAAATGAGTAATTGTTGTTAAATGCGGGGGCTACGTGCGTACTAGGTGACGAGAGTCCGTGCGTAGCTACTATAATGATAATTGTTCGGGTAGTTTAGGACCCACGTCATGTCTAATTGGGGAATATTTCTTATTTTAAATTACCAATACGATCATTTATGATTTGCTAGAGACTTGAGGAAATGAAAAGTGAACTTATGAGTTTGTTGAGGCTTGGTAGGAATTCCCTTGTATGTAATTGAGCCTTATGTGCTTTCCTGATATTTTCTTGATGATTATGGACTGAGCCGATCGCCTCGGTGAGAATAGATGCATCTATGGTTCGTGCCGCTCGACCCTCGGCAGTGCACAATTTATTTTTTGTTGGAGCGGGCCGTCCACCTCGGCATGATTGTGCATGATTTATATGCTTACATTTAGATATGACATGATCACTTGTTTAATATGAAAAAGGGAAAACTAGTAGTTTAATTATGTCAAGAACATGAATATGACTCTCCTCTTAAACTTGTGTTATTAGAAATTCTTCATGTTGTATATCTCACTTTATTATTATATTATCTTGACCTTAGTAAGTATCAAGTCAACCTCTCGTCTCTACTTCTTCGAGATTAGACGGGATACTTACTGTGTACATGTGGTTTATGTACTCATACTACGCTTCTGTACTTAAATGTACAGGATTTGAGGCAAGTGGATCTGGACATCATCCTGGTGCGCATCAGTGAGCACGCTTGGGGACTTCTACGGTGAGCTGCTTCTCTTTCATGCCGATCCGCAGCCGATGAAGTCCTTTCTTGTATTTTTTTTGTTTCTGTCTACCCTGATTCAGACAGCAGGATAGTGTATTATTCTTTTGTGTATATTCTACTAGTCGCCCGTAGCTTGTGACACCAGGTTCTGGCACACACAGTAGTAGACATTTATTTTGCGGTTGTATTGCTATCTTAGCACTTTATGATCTTTACTGGTCTTATCTTTAAATTCGAAAATCTAGTATGACTGTCTTTGGCTAAAGTAAAAATGAGAACTTAATCACATTCCGCATCGGCAGGCCTGACAACGGTGTTAGGCGCCATCATGACCTATTATGGAAAATGGGTCGTGACATCATGGTTTAGATGATTTCCTCCACACATGCCACAAGTCTCAGTCTGTCTTGGTTGTTGTGTATTCACCTGAAAAGATTCAAACTTTTGTGCCAAGGAAACAATCTGTTGTGTCAGTGTATTTAGGGCATCTACCTGATTTACCGTAGCAGCCTTCTTGATGATTACACGCTCAGATGGCCATTGGATGGCATTCTCAGAAATCTCATTCAATAATTGCAATGCTTCTTCTGTAGTTTTACCCATTACGGAACCTCCTGCAGCTGCATCAATCACATTTCTACAAGAGGGTTTTAACCCGTGATAAAAAACATACAACTGCATATGTTCAGTAATGTCATGATGTGGACATTTTCTCAGCATTGCTTTTAATCTTTCCCATGCTTGATAAACCGACTCAGTGTTAGTTTGCAAAAAATTAGATATATCTTGTCTTAACTTTGTTGTTTTAGCAGGAGAAAAATATTTGTTCAAAAATTTCTGAGTTATCTGGTCCCATGTGGTAATAGACCCTTGAGGCAAACTTCGCAACCAAGTCTTGGCATCTCCTTTTAAAGAAAAATAAAATAGCCTTAACTTGATAGCTTCAGGAGGTACTCCATTATACTTAGCAGTTTCAAAAAGTTCCAAAAAATCAATCATATGACTATGTGGATCTTCACTTGAATCTCCTGTAAAGATACAAGATTGTTGAATTGAATGGATCAGGCCGGTCCTGATTTCAAAGTTGTTAGCTGCTACTGGGGGTTTCCTAACACTAGATTCACAGTTGAAGCGGTCAGGTTTAGCATAATCCCATAGGATTCTATTTGCTGGTCTTGGCACCACTTCATCAAAATGCTCATCTACGTGGACTTGTGGTGGGATTTCTTGTGGGTTGTCGTCATCACCTAGTTGATGTTCCATTCCGTTGCAGGTTACGTATTGAGAAGAAGATGCATGTCTTTTCCTGCGCAATCAAAGAGATCTTTCAATTTCAGGATCGTAATTCACCAGTTCTTTTGTAGAATAACAGGTCATAAACTACTTGGAATTCTTAAAGTAAAGAAAATTAAACCCTTTTTTTTACTTAGTTCCTAAAAAAATCTTGAAATAAAATAGTAGAAGTAAAATCAAAAAAGAAAAATAGTAGTATTATGATATAGGTAAAAATAATAGTTTAAGTATAATACTAATAATTATAATATTATTAAATTGATAGCGACATTGTAATAATAGTAATAATAATTATAATAATAAGTTCTCAAACTAGTAACAAAACAATTAATCTGAAGTAGATGTTTGCCAATCCCCGACAACGGCGCCAAAAATTTGACGAGTGTCTAGCGTATATGAATTTAAACTCGTACTCTGTAAAATTATAGTATAGAAAGATGTCGATCCCACAGAGATTGATTTATCTATTCTACAAATTGTTCTTGTTTTAATTACTATTTGAGAGAATCGGAAAGTTGAGTTGAGGGTTAACAAGCAAATAATGAACAAACAAACTGTAGAGAAAAGTATTTTTGGTTTTAACAAATATGATAAAGATGTTGGGATCCTGATTTCACTTGATAATTCTATTAAAAAGCATATATTTGTTTTTCAGTATTTATTTCTCAAACAATGCATAAATGCCTCTCTCGATTACACTTATATATGATTACTTAAATTGAACAATCACTCCTCTCGGTTATACCAATTAATTATCAAGATAGTAATATTAAAGAACCAGAAATATATGTTTGAATTGAAACATGCTCTTTTTTCAAAGTAAATCCCTTTCGGTTACCTTACTTTTTATAACTTGAATTTTATACTATTCGCCTCTTCCGATTTCAGAATTAGTATAAAATCAAATTATAACACAAAACAGATAGATGTGATTAAATAAATGTCAACACTTATCAACACCACTATTAACCTTATTACCTCTTCTGCCTCTCTCGATTACAAAATGAATAACATGTTAGTTTGTGGTACAAAGAGAATAGGTGTGACTAAATTAAATAACATCTAACTATAAAGGTTGATAAAATTATAAATCGAAAGTTTCAAACCAAACAAGTGAAACTGAAAAATAAACTTTCACTATTATATAGAATTATCAAGATCCATCATTCTCCCAAAATAAGATAATTACTCCATACTAGATGTAGTACTGCCAATGCAAATATTCATGTCCATTAAATAAGAAAATAGAAAGAAATATTCAATAAGAATAATTTCGCCTATTTAATTAAAAATAGCAACTAGAGTAATTTTTACCTTGAAATTTATTTAGAACTGAAATGAAAGTGTAGCCACTACCGTGGTCTACGAAGACGTTAAAAACTGAAATAAACTTTATAAGAGGAATGATTTCAAATCTCCCAAGTTACTTTTGCAGAGATTGGCAATGTCCATTTTATAGCCATGAGGTTACTTGATGGTAACCGTTTTGCTTTCTTAGAAACGGTTTTTGATTGAAAACGATTTTCTTGGTTGTAATTTTGTTGCAGAATATCTTTCATTTTCTTTTCTTGACACGTTCTGCTTCTTGCTTTTTACTCTGATGTATTTCTTGTTTGAAATCTTCCTTGACCTTGCACCACTACTTTTGCTCTCTTTCCTGCATTATTTAGTTAAATATACGGAAAAGATTTGATAATTTTTATGATTTTACAAGGATAATCATATATTTAAAATCTAGCAAAATGTACTTATCACATCCCCCCGGGAGATCACCCCCTCGAAGAAGTCAAGATGAGCCAAAAAGGGTCTCGATAGGAAAATGATGTATCGGGCCAAACGGTCGAATGAACCGTGTCCGCATAGAATAATTGAACCCTTGACAACGAAAACATGTATGCTTGTGCCAAGTAATCAAGGAATATATTTCCATCAAAACACTTTGCGCTTCAAAGAAATCTGCCATTTTTTCGAGAAACGGCTCCAGAGCCAGAAATTTCCCGAACACTCAGGGACTGACATCAAAAACTCGAAGCCGTACGACCTCCGGGCTGGAAACTTCTAGCTCATAAGCCCTCAATGAGGCAGCATCAAAATATACAAAGAACGGCTCTAGAGCCAAAAACTCTCGACGACTAGGGGACTGACGCCGACGGTCACCCCATCGAGATATCAAGAACCCGAGGCCATAAGACCCATGCGGGCAACCTCGAGCCCGAAAGCCCTCCGCGTGGAAATGTTAGAAAATGTAAGACCTCCACGAGGCGTTATCAACAGTGTAAGACCTCCATAAGGCAATTCCAAATCTGTAAGACCTCAAGCAGGCATGAATTATACTTGTACCAAGTAACCTATCTGTAAGACCTCGAGCCAGGCATGAATCATACTTGTGCCAAGTAACCTATCTGTAAGACCTCAAGCAAGGCATGTTCAAATTTATAAGACCTTACAGAAGGCATAACCCTAATCTTAAAGTTAAGGCTATATATTCGAACTTGTAAGACCCCTAAAAAGGCATACCCTCGATATAGACGCCGAAGCTATTTCACTCGGGGACTAAAAGGCTATGGCCAAATACAATGACTACGGTCACAAGCTGTACCAGCCAAACTAACGCGACTCGGGGACGCCCGACCGTCGCCATAAAAATTACATGCCTTCAATTACTTCGAAAAAAATTCGAAAAGAATCGGTTAACCAGGCTACCCTCGGCATAAGCAAAAGAGCTCCAATCACATCAGCTCAAAATAATAAAAAGGCTTCAAAAAAATTCAGACATCGAGCGAAACCTCCCGAGGTGCTCGCCCATCGTCACATAACGGCTCGCAATCGAGGTTCTTATCAAACCGTCGAAGAGTTGGACGAACACAAAAAGCTTCAACGAGGGAAAAATAAAGCCTATACTAGAGGTCGTACTGACCCTACGCGTAAGAGCCACTATCGCCAGCTTAAATTAAAAGGTCGTACCGACCCAACGCGTAAGAGCCACTGTCGCCAGCTTAAATTAAAGGTCGTACTGACCCAATGTGTAAGAGCCACTGTCGCCAGCTTAATTAAAGGTCGTACCGACCCAACGCGTAAGAGCCACTGTCGCCAGCTTAAATTAAAGGTCGTACCGACCCAACGCGTAAGATCCACTGTCGCCAGCTTAAATTAAAGGTCGTACCGACCCGACGCGTAAGAGCCCAAGAGCCAGCTCAAAATTCAAAAGCCTAACAGGCCTCAGGGCCGATTTATAAACCTAAGGGTTTTTTACCTTGAAGTCCAGTTCATCTGGCTGATCATTGACTAACGTCAAAATACAAGACAAAGACAAAACATACACAAGCAGAGGGCAATGCATAAAAAATGAAACCGAAAGGCTTCCTTTTATATGTATATGTGAAAAATACAAAGCTCCATTTACAATGTTCTCTAAGAGCATTATACGCAGAATCGGAAAAGCAAGGCCTAGTCTACGCTCCCCTCGGGGACTGTGGCCCGTCGACCTCTTCCTCATTATTTTCGGCATCGGACAAGTGGAACTTGGCGTCGTATTTATCCGCCTTCGCATGCGCTATCTCTTTCGAGAGATCGAATCCCCTAGCATGGATCTCTTTGAGAGTTTCCCTCTGAGATCTACACCGTGCATATTCATTACTTCTGCTCTCCCGATCGGAATCCCCTCTCAACTCAGCCCGAGCATCGGCAGCATCTTTTAAATAGACGGCCACTTTCTTGTCAGCCTTAGCTCGAATCTCTTTAGCTTCAGCCCGGGCGTCCACGACCTCGGCCTTCATCTTCAAAAGGTCAGATTCGAGCCTTGCAATCTTGCTCGTTTGGACCGAACTGTTTTCACGAGCATTACGGAGTTGCACCTCGAGGGCAGAAACCTTGGCCAAAGCATTCTTCTTGGCCGTAACTTGGGCATCTATCTAGGCCTTTAGCTCATTATACTCATACTTGGACTGGCCAACTTCGCCCCAAAGGCGTTCCAGGTCCCCCGTCTTTCTCTGCAACTAAAGCATTGGAATATTAGTCTCCGAGGATAGGAGAAGAAACGTGCATCCCCGCGAAACAAAGGTTACCTGTCTTTCGAGGTAGCTTTTGTAGTTCCGGCTTCGGCTCGCCTCATACCGCAGGTATACCAACTCCTTTGCCCTTTTGTCACAAAGAAGCCTGAGGGATTTCTCCCCGTCCAAGGCTTTTCGCAACCTAGCTTCGCGGCAGAGCAACTTGGACTTGAGCTTGTCAAAGGCCTATGAAAAAGAAGCTCAGTAAGAAAATGAAAGAGCAAAACTGAAAAACCAATACAATCAAACAAAACTCACCACTGAACAGTGCTGCTGAGCCTCCTTAAAAGTTGAGCGCACATCTACTGGCCTAGTCTCATCAGCCCTAGAAGAACCGCTCCTAATAGGAATGTGATCGTTCTAGACCCCGCTTCATTTAGGTGGCCCCTGACCTTGAACATCCCTCGAAGTACCTTCGACGGGAGAGGAAGACGACGGCAGAAAACCTGTACTCCTCGAAGTACCTTCGACGGAAGAAGAAAATAGCGACGGAAGATCCTTGTCCCTCGAAGTACCTTCGACCAGGGAAGAAGATGGTGGCAAAGGAGGAGTCACCTCCCCGAGGCTAGAAATCTCTGGTATTGCAGGCTCAGCTGCCCCAGGGTGTCCCTCGGCTCGAGCCGTCAATATGTGGCCGCTCCCTTCTGCTGCGCCAATGTTCGCACAACGGCCATCAGGCACACGATCAACCTCAATGGGCACATCTCCTTTTCGCCTTCGGGCTGACCCTGCGTCACTACAAATCTCCTCGCCCATCGAGGATTCCTTACGCTTGTTATCACTCTTTGGCCCTGAGGCCGATGATCCTCCCTCCTCTCCGAGAGGGAACGGCCTCATCCCGGAGAATTCTCCGACGCCTGCAGTAAAAAGGTCAGGAAGCACAAAGGAAATATTCTTTAAACAGAATAATCACGCGGTACTCACCGTGGTGTTTTCCCTCCCATTTGCCCTTCGATAGTCCTTACCACTTACGCCCGCCGTAGGTCGAGCGAGCTGCTAGCTTCCAAGCCCAATCCGCCAGGTCAGGTACCTCGTATGGCATCCACGGTATTGCTATAATAAAGAAAAGGAAAACATCTTTGCAAAGCTCGCATCCACCATGAACAGAAAAAAAACACGAAGTGTACCACTTACGTGTGAAATTCCATTTCTCAGGAAATGGCAGGAATTACATGGGGATAATATCGACAAGCACTCGGACAAATCGAATCATCCACCCTCGGTCCCCATCCTCTTCATCGTCGGCAACAAAGGGCTTGGTGGATCGACATCGTAAAGTTATCAGGCCTCGATAATGAAAGGGCCAGTACAATTTGATAAGATGGCTAAGGGTAAACTCGAGCCCGGCTTCCTCCGCAAAGAACATCATCATCAATATTATCCTCCAGAACGATGGGTGAACCTGTGCCAAGGTAGCCCAATATCTTCGACAGAAGTCAAGCACGACTCTATCGAGAGGGCCCAACGTAAAGGGGTACGTATATACGTTCAAAAACCCCTCTACATGAGGCATGATGTTCTCTTCCGGGGAAGGTACCTGCAGTACCACCTTTTCTCCCCATCCGCAGTCTCTCTTCACTGCCTCGAGGTGTTCCTCTCCTATTGATGAAATGGACCTCAATGCGTGCTCTCAATGGCCCTGAACATTGGGAGGTCTCTCTAACGTGAAGTCCCTCCTCGAAACAAAGCATCTCGAGCTTGGCCCGCCGGACGCCGGCGGTGTACCACCGACCGAGCGGGAAGTAGTGGAGGAACTCTCCTCTTCTTGATAAATGGGCTTGGGCGTAGCAGCCATAACTATGGTGGAAGAGTTGACGCAAGAAAGGAGAGCTCTATGAAAAGGATAGCTGCCCAAAGAAGCGGAATCCTCAAATAAGAGGAAAGCAAACTCATATATAGAGCAAGCAGCGACTGTCCGCCTACCCTAAAAAGACAACTAATTCTAACTAGGCCATTATCGCTTCTGGGGAAGCGTACCGGCGGGATCACCTCGGTCACTTCATGGCCGTGTCATACGAACGGCGCTGTCGTATTACGTTCAAAGGGTTAAAAGATTCCCATATCAACCTAACCTCGAGATGGTGCCCAATCTTGAGGATCTCTATTAACGATGGGTTCCAAAGAGCTATCCACATATACATAGCCTCGAGATGGTGCCCGATCTTGAGGATCTCTCTAGGTCCGAGTTAGTTTCCACTCGAGGGATATCAATAACGTCTTAGTGCTATCCTCATCTTAAGTTCGAAGCAAGTTTTCGAGGCCGCCCGAGTTCAAACAAACCCTCACTCGGGGACTATTCGTGAAAGTCTCAGGGCTATCTCTATTTTCAGATGATCAAGCAAACCCCCACTCA